GCATCTCGGGAGGCTGAAGGCAGGGAGCGAGATGCCCTGGAACACCGGGGAAGTGCGGAGCTGCAGTGAGCCGAGATCACTGGCATGTGCCTCGCTGCCTGGGCGACAGAGCAAGACTCGCATCTGCAAAAAGAAAAACAAAAAAAAAAAGCTGGGTGTGGTGGTGTGCCCACCTGAATCCGCGCTAACTCAGGAGGCTGAGAAAGGAGAATCGCAGGTGAACTCAGGAGGCAGAGGTTGCAGTGAGCCAAGATCACGCCACTGCATTCCAGCTTGGGTGACAGAGCAAGACTCCATCTCAGGAAAACTAATAACAAATAAGATAAATAAATAAGTTGTAAGACCTCTGTGTTGGGAAGAAAAGAGAAAGAGGAAAACTACCTGCTGGTGAACGTAACGTGGCGTCTGTTCCGGAGGGACTTCCGGCTCATGTGTCACCGAACCACCACACGCCGTGCAGCGGTTAGACCAAAGGAGAGGAAGTGAGCCAGGGTGGTTGGGCCTGGCAGATGAGATGGTCAGGCGTCTTGCGATTTTCTTCATATCTCTTCTAGTTTTCCTTCCTACAAGTGAAGACGTGTTGTCCTTTTGATGTTGAATAACAAGTAAAGGTCCCAGCGGTTCCTTTGTAAGCTTGAAGCAGGAATATTTAAAGACTTTACAACTATAAATCGATAGAATGGATTAGGCCTAAAATGCGTTCAGAACACATACAACAAAACTAGAAATAGCCTTTTTTTTTTTTAGATAAAGTTCCTAACATCGACAGTCTCATTTTGTGAAAAACAGAAGGAGCGCTCTGACCGGGCAAGTCCACAGGCCCTTCCCAGGGATGTGACCGCCTCCTGCAGAGGACGTGTACGCCCAGGGTATTTATTTCAGGATTGAGGGCCCTGTTGGCGTAGTCTTGCCCTCAGGGCAGCCTGCCTGACCTGGCTCTGGGTGGACTGTGGCTCTGTCTGTAGCATTTTTTTTTTTAATATCTATTGTTGTCTTGCTTGTTGGTGGTGAGTCAGGTGGTGGCGATCTCGCTCACCGCCAAATTCTGCCTTCTGCTGGGTTCAACGTGATTCTCCTGCCTCGGCTCCTCCCATCGAGTAGGCTGGGATTGAAGGTGCGTGCCCTCCAGCCCACTAGATTTTTGAGTTATTTTTAGTATGATACGTGGTTTCAGCCAGTGTCTGGCCAGGCCTGGGTCTTGAGACTCCTGACCTCAAGCTTGAGTCTGGTCTGCCAGCGCCCTTCGGCCTCCCGAACATGTGCTGGATTAGCTGGGTGGGCCACCAGCCGCGCCTGGCCCTTGAGTAGTTTCACCATGTTGGCCAGGCTGGTCTTGAACTCCTGACCTCAAGTGATCTGCCCACCTCGGCCTCCCAAAGTGCTGGGATTACTGGCGTGAGCCACCGCGCCCGGCCTTGAGTAGTTTCTTGTAAAATGTGATGACTTCATTCTCTTGTCGCGGGTTGAAAAGCGAACTGTTACTTGAGGACATGCTAGAACATCATCTTCCCAAATTTTAGAGCAGGTGCCTTTCCAGAAACCAGGATATCTGTCAACCTTTGTGGAGTGAGGGCCTCACCATTTCCAGAGAGCCCCCTAGGGCCTGACGAGGAAGGGCTGGGGGCATGTGGACATCACGTGCTCCCCACGTGACCCTCTCTGCATGAATTTTGTCTCTCTAGCCCCTCTGAAATCAAAGAAATCCTGCATCTGGCTGGACTCAATGAGCTGGAGGTGATTCCCTTGGTGCAGACATTTGGACACATGGAGGTGAGTGGCAGGAATGGAAGTTACCTGTTACCTAGTGCCAGGCGTGGAGTCCAGGGGCTGCAGGCTGGGCCAGGCTTGTGCCCAGGGGTAGGTGCAGCAGGTCTGTGGTTGGGGTGCAGGCAGCACAGCTCAACACAACTCAGAGAGGACTTTGGTCTAGGAAGTCCCTGACTGACTCGGCCAGAGCTGCAGGTTGGGGCAGGCTATCTGCCTGAGGAATGGAAGGAAAGAGCCAGAAAAGGGGTCCTGGAGGCTGGGAGGTGGTTTTCTTTTTAACTTGTATTCATCAGAATATTATTATGTGAGGTAAAACACAGTATTAAGGAAAGAAAAGGTGCTTTTCAGGCCAGGTGCGGTGGCTTACACCAGTAATCCAGCACTTTTGGAGGCCGAGGCTGGTGGGTCACCTGAGGTCAGGAGTTTGAGACCAGCCTGGCCAACATGGCGAAACCCCGTCTCTACTAAAAATACAAAAATTAGCCAGGTGTGGTGGCGGGCACCTGTAGTCCCAGCTACTCGGGAGGCTAACGCAGGAGAATCGCTTAAACACAGGAGGTGGAGGTTGCAGTGAGCCGAGACCATGCCACTGCACTCCAGCCTGGGTGACAAGAGCAAGACTCCATCTCAAAATATATATATACGCACACACACAGATGTTCTTATATATACACACACACACCACACACACACATATATACACACACATGTACGTACATACATATATACATACATATTCTTTTATATATATATATAAAAAAGAATATATATATATAAAAAAGAATATATATATATACACACACACACGCGCACATATTCTTTTTCACGTCTGTATCAAACAGACAGGCAGTGATGCAACATTAACCACCACAGTTTAATTTAATGGCTCTTAGGTCCCATTTATTTCTCTAACAGATACACCATTCTGGTTTCTATTTCCACACACCGTGGGAAGGAAGGTTATTTTCACTTACACATGCCGGTGTTCTGGGCATGCCACCGAAGTTCCTTCCCACAGCTTGGTCCTCTGGCCTTTCTAGTTGATTCTCCCCATCACACTCTGCCCTAGGACCTGGCACGTGCTCTTAGCCTTCTGCCACCTCTCTACAGAACGTCTCTCCCAAGGCCACCAGGGTCCTCCAAGTCACTAAGTCCAGGGATGGTTTTAGTCCTTTCTGGCTGGACTCCTCGGTAGCTTCTGGCATCCCCAGCTGCTCTCCTGAGCCCCACACTTTCCGGCTTCCCCCGCCTCTGACTGTGCCTCCTCGGTGTCTATTTGCATTTGCCTTTCTGTAGCTGGCGGTCCCCAAGGCTCCTCTCGGCCCCCGTCCCCACCTCCTACTCTCTCTAGATGGTGCCATCTCTGCTCCTGCTTTCTCTTCGTCTTCCTCTTCCTCTTCTGTCTGCACCTCAGCAACTCCAGACCTCCTGGGTTACAGACCCTCATCCCCAGCTTCCTGCTGGTCACTTCCACTGAGGGGCCTCCTCCAGCCTCTGGTGTGCACACCAGAAGCAGACCAGCCACGGTCAGCACCACCACCCGCCCGCACCCTGACCCATGTTGGTCCTGCTGCTGCTGCTCCTCCTCCTCCTCTGTCATGCAAGCACCACCCCTGTCTAAACCACCACCGACTCGCCATGAAACTCTCCTAACGGGTCTCCCAGGGCCACTCTGCCCCTCCGTGCCGCTCTCCCCACCGCAGCAAGTCACAGCACAGCTCTGACCACTCACACCTGCCATCTCCTTAAAAGACACTGTTGTCAGGGCAGAACTGATTGCCACAAACGAGGTGGCTTAAGACAACAGAAATGTTCTCTCAGTTCTGGAGACCAGACATCCAAAATCAGCGTGTCAAAGCGTTGGTTTCTACTGAGGAAGACCCTCCATGTGTACATTTGCTATTAGTATACCCTTGTGTGCTAGTTTTTGAGACAGATTCTCGCTCTGTTTCCCAGGCTGGAGAGCAGTGGTGCAATCTTGGCTCACTACAACCTCCGCCTTCCGAGTTCAAGTGATTCTCCTGCCTCAGCCTACTGAGTGCCTGAGATTACAGGCGCCCCACCACACCTGGCTAACTTTTTGTCTTTTTATTAGAGATGGGGTTTCAAGATGTTGGCCAGGCTGGTCTCGAACTCCTGGCCTCAGGTGATCCGCCTGCCTCGACCTCTCAAAGTACTGGGATTACAGGCATGAGCCATGGTGCCCGGCCTAGTATACCTCCTTGGTATACTAGAAATAACTGCTTGGGTGTATTACCCATTTTTTTTCAACTTGAGTTTTTAAGGTTCTTTATGTGTCCTAGATGCAAATCCTCTGATGGAGTTTGCAGGTATTTTCTCCCAGTGTGGAGCTTACGTGCTTTTGGTGGCATTTCTGAAAACTTGTTGTGATCACCAGATCACAGAGATTTTTCTTGTATTTTCTTCTAAAGTTTAACTTGTGTGCATTTTTCATTTAGATCTATGATCCATGTTGAGTGTGGTATTTTTATTCTTTCTCCAGAACCCTTGAACATTCAAGTTGTCTTGAGTCACAGTCTCACTCTGTCACCCAGGCTGGAGTGTGTGGCACAATCACAGCTCACTGCAGCCCTGAACTTCTGGGCTCAAGCAATCCTCCCACCTCAGCCTCCTGAGCAGCAAGGACTACAGGTGTGCGCCACCACACCCCGCCAGTTTTTTTATTCTGTGGAGATACCAGGTCCCACCGTGTTGCCCAGACTGGTCTCGAACCCCTGGCCTCAAACAGGTCCCCCACTTCAGCCTCTCAGAGTGCCAGGGTTACATGTGTGAGCCGTTGCACCTGGCCCCATTTTGAGTTAATTTTTTTGTTTATTTTCCTTTTTGTGAAGAGTGGGGTCTCACTATGTTGCTGGGCTGGTCTCAAACTTCTGGGCTCAAGTGATCTTCCCACCTCTGCCTCCCTAAGTGCAATTTTTTTATTTTTTTATTTTTCTTGAGACAGAGTTTCGCTCTGTCGCCCAGATGGAGTGCAACAGCATGATCTCGGCTCACTACAACCTCCACATTCCGAACTCAAGCAATTCTCCTGCCTCACATCCCAAGTAGCTGGGATTACAGTGCCTGCCACCACGTCCGGCTAATCTTTGTCTTCTTCGTAGAGATGGGTTTTTTTTTTTTTCTTCTTCTCTCTGTTTTGAGAACGGAGTCTCCGTGGTCTCCAGGCTGGAGTGCAGTGGCGTGATCTCGGCTCACTGGCAAGCTCCGCCTCCAGGTTCACGCCATTTCCCCCGCGTCAGCTCCCAAGTAGCTGAGACTACAGGCCGCGCATCCACGCCCGCTAGCTCTTTTGTAATTTTTGTAAGAGACGGGGTTTCACCCGTGTTACCAGGATAGTCTCGATCTCCTGACTCGTGATCACCCCGCCTTCGGCTCCCAAAGGTGCTGGATACAGGCTTGGAGCCACCGCGCCCGCCAGAGGAGGGGGTTTTGCCATGTCTGCCAGGCTGGTCTCGAACTCCTGACTCAAGTGTCTGCCCATCGGCTCCCAGAGCTGCTGGATTCAGGTGTGAGCCACCACACCAGCCTGCCTTTTCATTCTTAGAATCATACTTCATGAGGTAAGGTTTGCTTGAAATATTTGACTAATTAATATGTGGGGCCCACTGAGTCAGAGTCTCGTGAACTGGATTTACTTTCCAGTTTATTTGCACATCTCAACAAATTATTTGGTTGAGAACTGAACATTTCAGTGAACATACACTTATAGCAAGCCTGAATGTTTTACCTCCTTTCCCCAGTGCGCCTGGTGATGGTCGTATTTTGTTGATTTTTCTAGCAAGTGGATCTGCATTTAACCTGCAGTACTGCCCCGGCCCGTGTGTGCCTCGCTGATGTCATGTTGTGAGATTGGTTTTGGTTCTTTATTTTTACGTTTTAATCTGGGCTTCTAGGGTCAACTCTGTCCTTCATTGCTGGTTCGTCAGCCGAGGCGGGTCTGGGCAGAGGGTGTGGCTCCCACGCTTGAGCCCAGCTCCTCCCTTTGCCACAGGGCTGCTGTGTGGCGGTGGGGGTGCAACCCCCCAGGTTCGCCGCAGTTTCCACCTGGCCCTCACAGGTGCCCTGCACGTGTGTGTGGCCCCGCCAGCAGGCTCGAGGACACGTGTGCAGCACCATTCTGGTTTGTGGTTTCGCCAGGTCACCCATTAAATCTCCAGGCCGGTCTTGGCTCTCCCAGCAGCGGACTGACCCTCTGGTAGGCGGAAGACACCGGTTCGTTTTTCTCCAGTGCTCTCTTCTTTTTTTTTTTTGACACGGAGTTTCCACTTCTGTTGCCCAAGGCTGGAGTGCAGTGCCGGGATCTCGCTCTCACTGCAGCTCCCCTCCCGCGGACGATTCACGCCATTCTGCCTGCCTCAGCCTTCCCGAGTAGCTGGGTACTACAGGGCGCCGCACTCTCGCGGCTAGTTTTTTTGCATTTTTTAGTAGAGACGGGGTTTCACCGTGTTAGCCAGGATGGTCTTGATCTCCTGACCTCATTGATCCGCCCTCTCGGGCCTCCCAAAGTGCTGGGATTACAGGCTTGAGCCACGCGCCTGGCCTCCAGTTGCTACTTCCTTATGACTGTGCCCCCAAAAGGAGTGGGTTTTTTACCCACCTCAAGTTAAGTCTGCCCCTCTGCGGCAGCAAGCTGTGTTTCCACACTGAGGGGGAAGGGGGCAGTGAGCAACCATGAGCGCGAGGCCACAGAGTCTCTGTTCTTACGCAAAGTTATTCCTACATAAACGTTTTTCTCTTTTTGCTTTTCAGAGACAGGGTCTCACTCTTGTCACCCAGGCTAGAGTGCAGTGGCATGATCATGGGCTTACTACAGGCTCAACTTCCTAGGCTCCAGTGATCTTCCCGCCTCAGCCGCCAAGTAGCTCGAACCCACGGCAGGTGCCACCACACCCAGCCACTTTTTTTTTTTCTTAAACTGTATTTTGTTTTTAAAAATTTATGGCCGGGCACAGTGGCTCACGCTGTAATCCCAACACTTTGGGAGGCCGAGGTGGGTGGATCACAAGGTCAGGAGATCGAGACCATCCTGGCTAACATGGTGAAACCCTGTCTCTACTAAAAAAAATACAAAAATTAGCCGGGCGTGGTGGCGGGCACCTGTAAGTCCCAGCTACTTGGGAGGCTGAGGCAGGAGATGGCGTGAACCCAGGAGGCAGAGCTTGCAGTGAGCCAAGATTGAGCCACTGTACCTCTATCCTGGGCGACAGCGCCAGACTCCACTTCTCAAAAAAAAAAGGAAAAAATTAGGCTGGGCGCGGTGGTTCACACCTGTAATTCCCAGCACTTTGGAGGCCAAGGCAGGTGAATCACTGTGGTCAGAAGTTCAAGACAGCCTGGCCACATAAGCGAAATCTCGCCATTCTCCACTAAATACAAAACTCCCCAAAATTCGCTTGGCTGGTTGGCACATGCCTGTAATCCCAGCTACTGGGAAGGCTGAGGCGGGAGGATCACTTGAACCTGGGAGGCAGAGGTTGCAGTGAGCCAAGATTGTGCCAGCCTGGGCGACAGGGTGAGACTCCATGGGGTTTCACCATGTTGTCCAGGCTGGTCTCAATGCCTGAGTTCAAACATTCTGCCCACCTCAGCCTCCCAAGGTGTTGGGATTACGGGACTGAGCCTCTGTGCCTGGCCTAATGTTTTTGTATTATCCGTAGATTTGAAACAGAAGCCCCAGATGGGCAGAAGGAGATGAGCCCAGTCCTCTGCCCCCAACGTGAGCTCCTGTCTCTCCACAGTTCGTGCTGAAGCATGCGGCCTTCGCCCACCTGCGGGAGGTGGGCCCCTTCCCCTGCACCCTGAACCCCCACGAGGCGGAGTCCCTGGCACTGGTGGGCGCCATGATCGACCAGGTCCTGGAGCTGCACCCAGGCGCCCGATGGCTGCACGTTGGGTGTGACGAGGTGGGTGCCATCACCCCAGCTCTGTGCAGGACACTCTCCCCTGTCATGGCTTGTCCTTTTAAATAGGAAAATCGTCCAGGCACTGAGGCCTAGAGCCAGGCTTGTTCCCCTCGGGGAGCCCCGTCCAGCATCTTCCCTGGGTGGATGGACGGCCTGGCACAGGACAGCCTGAGCCCGAGGGAGGCGCCCTCGTGTCAGATGAGACCACCCGGGGCAGCTGGGTTGGCAGAGGCCTGCGGGTGGCGGGCAGGTTCACCCCCCAGGACCAGCAGTCAGCGCGAGTCAGGGTGCAACTCGAGGGACACCCTTTCGTTGCTGAGAGGAAGGAAGTTCTGCATTTGGACCTTAAAGTACCCACTGGAAAAGGTGGTCCCCAGACGGTGCCGGAGACGTGCCCCCTCCAGCCCAGTGAGTCCCCACCCTCGCCCCTCCCTCCACTCACTGGACTCCAGCTCAGTCAGGGCCTGGGCAGGGTGCGGAGCTGAAAGGACCAGGGTTGGTGCCCACGGGGCTGGGAGGTTCTGCAGGGCTGTGGCTCACGGGGAGCCCAAGCTAAACATTTTAGCTCCAGAAGTTTCCTTTTGTTTGAAGGAAATCGGAGTGTGTAAAATGCACATAAGTTTTACCATTCTAACCATTTTAAAATATAGGCTGGGTGTGGTGGCCCACGCCTGTAATCCCAGCACTTTGGGAGACCAAGGTGGGTGGATCATCTGAGGTCAGGTGTTTGAGACCAGTTTGGCCAATGTGGTGAAACCTCATCTCTACTAAAACTACAAAAATCAGCTGGGTGTGATGGCGGGCGCCTGTAATCCCAGCTACTCAGGAGGCTGAGGCACGAGAATCGCTTCAACCCGGGAGGTGGAGGTTGCAGTGAGCTGAGATCACGCCACTGCACTCCAGCCTGGGTGACAGAGCGAGACTCCAGCTCTAAATAAATAAACAAACAGGCCGGGCGCGGTGGCTCACACCTGTGATCCCAGCACTTTGGGAGGCCGAGGCAGGTGGATCACCTGAGGTCAGGAGTTCGAGATCAGCCTCGCTAACGTGGTGAAACTCCGTGTCTACTAAAAATACAAAATTAGGCCAGGCGTGGTGGCGTGCACCTGTAATCCCAGCACTTTGGGAGGCTGAGGCAGGCGGATCACGAGGTCAGGAGATCAAGACCATCCTGGCTAACACAGTGAAACCCTGTCTCTACTAAAAATACAAAAAATTAGCTGGGCGTGGTGGGGGATGCCTGTAGTCCCAGCTACTGAGGAGGCTGAGGCAGGAGAATGGCGGGAACCTGGGAGGCGGAGCTTGCAGTGAGCGGAGATCAAGCCACTGCACTCCAGCCTGGGCGACAAAGCGAGACTCCGTCTCAAAAAAAAATTTTTTTTAATAAAAATACAAAATTAGCCAGGTGTGGTGGTGGGTGCCTGTAATCCCAGCTACTCGGGAGGCTGAGGCAGGAGAATTGCTTGAACCTAGGAGGCAGAGCTTGCAGTGAGCCGAGACGAAGGTTGTGCCACTGCACTCCAGCCTGGGCGACAGAACAAGACCCTGTCTCCAAAATAATAAGTATAAACGTCAGCACCTCTTCCACATATTCATGGTGTGGACAATCACCCCAGGCTGAAGCCCCGCACCCACCCCCAGCCCCCGGCGACCACGGTCTGCTTCCCGTCTCGGTGGATCTGTGCGCCTGGGCGTTCCACGGGTACCGAGTCACACAGTGTATGACCTGTGTTCCTCTGGGCCGTTGGCCGCCAGAGCTTGGCTCTCTGTTGAGGCCGAGCCGTGTTCATGGTGGGGGACGCTGCCCTATGCTGGTCCGTCATGGGGGATGGACCCCTGTGGTCTCCGCTTTGGCGGTTGTGAGAAGAGCTGCTGTAAACATTCACAGGAAACCTTGAGTAGAAGTTCAGGGCTCAGTGAGGAAGACAGGGACACGCTGGGGGTGGTAAGCAAAGGCTCCCAGCCCCTCCCCGGCCTCCTCCCCACAGGCAGCGGCCCCTCTCCGTCAGGGTACGGTGTGAACCCCGGACCCTCCCACCGGTGTGCAGGGCTGCCCCGTCCCGCTCCTCCCTTGCAGGTCTATTACCTCGGAGAGGGGGAGGCCTCGCGCCGGTGGCTGCAGCAAGAGCAGAACAGCACAGGGAAGTTGTGCCTGTCACACATGCGGGCAGTGGCCAGCCACATGCAGACCCGGCGCCCCAGCGTGACACCCCTGGTGTGGGACGACATGCTCCGAGACCTGCCTGAGGACCAGCTCGCAGGTCGGCCAACGGGGTTGGGGGAGGGGTGGGCCACTGACCTGCCCAAGACCCACGGCTTCAGAGAAAGAAGGTGCTGTAGGAAGTGGGCCCCAGGGTGAGCCCCAGCCCCACACAGACCTGCCACAACCACCTCCTGCATCCCCCCGACACCGGGTCTGAGTCGTTTCCTAGAAGCCGTGGAGGTTTGGGCAGGAGAGCACGGGCCTGCCCGGTGGCCTAGAGGGCTTGGGAGTGACCCGCCCTCGTGGCAGCCTCCTCCAAGGCCAGCCCTGCTGGAACTGGGGGCCGAGGTTCCCGCTGGCAGCTCCTCCAGACCCTGGGCCCTGCTCACTCTGCCTGAGGCTTTGGGATGAGCTGCTGAGTGCCTTTCTGGGCCAAGAGGTGGTACTCAGACACCTGGCCCTGTTCCACACAGAGCCCTGAGGCTCAGTGAGCCCCATGGCAGAGCTGGGAGCCAGGGTGTCCTAGGGCCGTGCTGGCCTGGCAGCTCCCACCCACGCATGGCCACATAGATGACTTAGAGTGACCTCCATTCAGCCACGTGCTCCAGCTGTGCCTGTGGCTCATGGCCTGGTAAAGCAGCAGCGGGAGCAGGGTCGCTGCAGTGGGCGCTGGCTTGGGAAGGCACTGTGTGTGGTTGTGGCATTCATTGTCCAAACCCAGCATAGTGCCAAGTCTGTCTTAAAAAGGTATCTATGCTCACGCTTTCAGGCAAATCAAGAACAGGTGGGTCCGAGGGGCTGAGGGTGTGGTCTGGGTGTCTCACCAACCGCATGTCCGCTCTGTCCGCTCTGTCTGCTCCGTCTGCAGCATCCGGGGTGCCGCAGCTGGTGGAGCCGGTGCTCTGGGACTACGCGGCCGACCTGGATGTGCACGGCAAGGGTCAGTGCCAAGTTGGGGGTGTGTTGTCGTGGCCACATGACTGGGAAGGCCATCCCTGGCCCTGTGACCCTGCAGCCCAACTGCCCAGCCTAGGGCCTGCACAGGTAGAGGCCAGGGCACAGCTCCAGCAGACCCCAGCCCTGCACCGGTGCCTCACCTTCCCATTCTACCAGTGTTTTCCACCAGTGTTTTCCAGTGAGCAGGTGAACCAGGGGCCACGTAAGCTCTGGAGTCTCCCTGACTGGGACCCAGGCCGGCCACCTACACTCTGGAGTCTCCCGCGCTGGGACCCAGTGGCTGTCACTGGCGGCTCCCATGTCGGCTCTGGGTATAGCCCCGGGAGACATGTCCGGGGCCACGTCGGCCGCCTCCCCGGGAGCCACTCACCTGTTTGCTTTCTCACTCAGTCCTCCTCATGCAGAAGTACTGGCGGTGCGGCTTTTCGCGGCTGTGGGCAGCCAGTGCCTTCAAGGGTGCCACAGGGCCCAGCCAGGCCGTGCCCCCCATTAAGCACCACCTCAGGAACCATGTGCAGTGGCTGCAGGTGGCAGGCAGCAGGCCCACGGACTCACTGCAGGGCATCATCCTGACCGGCTGGCAGAGGTAAGCCCTGGCCAGTCAGAGGGTCCAGGGCAGCTCTGGTGGTCACCACATCGGCCTGTCCAGTGTCCGCTGAGGGCCTTCCCAGGTCGGTCAGAGGGGAAGCAGCCCAGGCCTCTGAGAAGAGCTGCAGGAGACAGCCATGTGGGGTGGGCCCCACACGCCAGAGCGGCCACAGAGGGTGCTGCTCATGTGTTCAGGGTCACAAACACGTGGTCCCCAGCCCCCATGCCGCCCGTGTGCACTGCACCTGAGGCTGTGTGTGTATGTCTTGCTTGTGGCACAAGGAGGGGTTTCGGTTCTTTCAGGATTTCACTCAGTTGCTAGAAATGCCATCTCAATTCAGACCCCACAAGAAGGTTCTCGGGTCTCACACACGAAAGAATTCAAGGCCGAGCGCAGTGAGGGGAGGTCACCAAAAGGTGCCCAGTGACAGAGGTAGGGCCCTTGGAAGGCCAGCACAGGCGTGCCCGGCTCTGTTTTCCGTTTTTCTCATATCAGGGTCTTGTCTATGTAAACACTAAGCTGTGCTCCCTGTGGGTGGGGCCAACAGTGTGACAGAACATGTCACTCCATGGGCTGAGCACGGTGGCTCATGCCTGTAATCCCAGCACTCTGGGAGGCTGAGGCAGGTGGATCACCAGAGGTCCGGTGTTCGTGACCAGCCTGGCCAACATGGTGAAACTCCATCCCTACTAAAGATACAAAAATTACCCAGGTGTGGCAGCATGTGCCTATGATCCCAGCTACTCAAGAGGCTGAGGCAGGAGAATCACTTGAACCCAGGAGGCAGAGGTTGCAGTGAGCCAAGATCACGCCGCTGCACTCCAGCCTGGGCGACAGAGCAAAAGTCTGTCTCAAAAAAAAAAAAAAAAGAATGTATTATTCTATGGATTTAGAGAAACCTGTCCTGGACATTTCAGCATGTAGCCTATGGAAGCCCAACTGTGGTGACCTAGAAGGCACATGCTGTCATGGGTGTGGGGATGCCAGGGCTGTCCGCTGTTGTAGGAGTGGCCCCTGCAGGTGTCTGAGCGCTTCCTCAGCTGTAAACATCCCGTGACTGTGGGTCCTGCCTGGCAAGAATGGGCCTTGTTAGTCTCATGAAGGAGCTGGGCCTCCGTGGCGTCACCCTGGCGCTCCCAGGTCCCTGCTCCCCTGACGACACCATGTGAAAAGCAGAGCTACAGATAAACCCCTGGTCGCCGGCCAAGTCCTGACCTTGGGTCTCATCTCAAGTTAGAGGGGTGGGGGGCAGATGGCGCAGGTGCCGTGGGCTAGGCAAGCGGCTGGAGGCAGGACCCCGCCAGGGGCCCCGTGCCCTGACCCACAAGGCTCAGATTCGATGGAGTCAAGAATTTCATGGTGGGGACCACAGAGCCTGGTGGGCCAGCCTGCTACAGGGGCAGCTCACAGCTGCCATGCATGTCCACAGCTGGCAGCGGCTCTTTAGAAGCTTCCAGATAGTTCCCACTGTCCTGTTGGGATACAGCTCTGTCTGCACAAACTAGGACCGTCCATAGAGCAGGGTGAGGCTCCTCCGCCCCAGAGGGGCGGCACATCCTTCAGACGAGCCTGGGGCTGTGGCGTCAGGCATCGCCCAGCCTTCGCCTGTGCTCACACCTGGGGCGGCGTCTGTCACCCACCTCACAGCTGAAGAAACTGAGGCACAGGCAGGTGGAGGCCCCCTATCCGGCAGTGGGAAGCCCTGACTCCCACCCCAGCCAGGCTGAGGCCCCCCAGCCCTCGCTTGGGACAGATGCTGCCGCTGACCTGCTGCCTGCCAGGCCTGATCTCGCACCCTCCTCGTGGGGTCTTGGGGAAAAGCTGCCGCCCCCACCAGCCAGACAGGAGGCAGCCAAGGGAGAGGGTGGGCAGGAGAGGCCCAGAGGCCCTAGGAGGGGGGCGTCAAGGGCAGCCCCCAGGAGCAGGAGCCTTTTCTCAGAGGCCAGAGGTGCTGGGGGGAGGGACGATGACTGGCCACCCACCCAAGGCCCACCCAGAGTTCCCATGGCTCTGGAAAGCATCGCAGCAAGGAATCCCCACGCTCTTCACGCGTCCGGTTTCTAGAACGGAGTTGATGTGAGAGCCCTGCCGCACAGAACCTGTCTTGGAAACCCTGGGCCCCGTGGGTTGAGGGGGTCAGGCTGCCCCCACGGCCCTGGAACAAGAGCAGGGATGTCCCGAATCAGGGCACCTGTGTCAGGCTGGTGGGGGTGGGCTGTGGAGCTGAGCGCCCCTCTCCTGGACCCAGGTACGACCACTTCTCTGTGCTGTGCGAGCTGCTCCCTGCAGGAGTCCCGTCCCTGGCCGCCTGTCTACAGTTGCTTCTACACGGTATGTCTGGTCTGGTCACCCCAAGCCCCGCCGGCTCCTCCCAGAAAGACCCGGAGGGCAGGAGGCCAAGCACCCAGAGCTCCAACCACCCTGCTGGACCGTGGTGGTTCTCACAGCAGGAGGATGGTCTCACCGCCCCAGCTTAGCCACCCGCCTGCCCTGAAGTCCACCCAGGCTGGGCCTGCACCCAGGTCTCCAAGCCTAAGCCCAAAGCAGGCTGGAGAGTGACGCGGGACGCACCCCTCAGACACAGTGAATCCGCAGAAATGCGCGCAGGTCGGATGTGGGGAGCAGCTCCACCTTTGCTGCACACACATCCTGCACACCTGGCCGAGCAGGTGTGGGGTGCAGGCGCCCGGCCCTGGAAGGCCCTGCACCATGGACCCAGCACTGACACTTCCAGGTTGCCTGAGGGAGTAGCAGGACCTATGGGCAAGGGCAGGCCCTGGGAGCCCCTCGGGGTCAGCAGGGGCTTGGCCAGATGAGCCGTGTGCATGGAAACTCGCAGGCCACACAGGAAATTAGCAACTGCATGGTGCTGACACAGAAAGAAAAATGGCCGAGACGCGCTGAGAGCAGGACCCATGGGCGTGGCGGCCCAGGGACGGGGGTGCAACCAGTGAGGACGCAGAATGAGATCAGATTGACTTAGCTGCTGAGTCTGAACTGCTTAGAAAAGGGCAGAAACGATAAAAGCAGACACTCACGTGCCCCACACTAAAGAGCTGCGTTAATATGGACGGTATTTGCAGCGTCCCTTGCCCACAGCCCCACCCGCCACCCCTGGGACTGGGGCACTGCCCTCCGGCCGTCAGCCTCTCGCAGCGAGTATATCCATGAACAACTCGGAGATCTGTCCACCCTGGTGCCCACAGGCCTCACGGGTTTGTTTCGGGTGCTCTAGAATATTCCGTTGATTGTGTGAACCACAGTGGCAAACGCTGCGTGAGCCCTGGACACCTGTGCGGGTTGGGCTGTACCCAGCAGGAAGAACCACTTGCTGTCTGGGCGTTGCTGCCGGCAACACAGTCTTATTTCTGTTTTCTGATTTTTTAAACAACGAATGTATTTCACATGTTTAAAGAGAAGCAGCAAGCCCATCTGCCCCCAGGTCCCCTTGGGGCCGGCACACGCAGGGCTGGGCCTGGCCAGTGGCTCTCCATGCCGCCCACCCACTGCCCCAGCACCTAGGCCTGCAGCTCCCAATGTAGCCCCTGCCCTCCTCCACAGGCCCCTCCAACTGCCCCGCTCTGTGATTTCAGGAGGATTTGATGGAGATGCTAAAGCGAAAGTGGAGAACCTTCTTGGGATTTCCAACCTGGAGATGATGGACCCTGTTAGGCAAGCACCCTGCAGCCCTCCCCATCCCATTTCACCCCTCCCCGTCCTTCTCTCCCCTTCCCCCGCCTGTGGAGACAGCTGTTCTCAGCAGGGCTTTCTGCAGGGAGGGGGCCGGCTCTTTCCCTGGCAGCAACATCCTTGCCCTTGTCACACAAGTCAGCCTCCATCTGCGCAGCTCTGTGGACGCGCTGCTGGAGGGCAACACGTGAGTGTGGGAGGCAGGTGTGGGTGAGCGGGCAGGCATGGGGCAGGTGAGGGGCAGGTGTGGGTGAGGGGGCAGGTGTGAGTGGGAGGCAGGTGCAGGTGAGGGGCAGGTTCACAAGCCCCACCCCACCCCCAGGCACAGGAGGCGGCAGCCTCATCTTTCACAAGGACTTTCTGGGGGACATAAGACTTAGAAATGTCTACCCCACTCTTAAAACATTTTCTGTATTACTGTAAAGCAGCCCCATGGCTGCCTTGGTAGCCCACGGCACACCCGTATGTGGATTTGCCCCAGGTACATCACCGGCTGGTTCAGCCCCTACCACCGCCGGCGGAAGCTCATCCACCCGGTCATGGTTCAGCACATCCAGCCCGCAGCACTCAGGTGAGACCCTGGACTCTTACAGGCTGTGCAGCCGTGGGTTCTCTGAGGACTGCTGCTGCTGTTGACATGTCCCTCAACCAGAGGAGGAGCGGAGGGTGAGCCCCTAGTTGTAAAGGGCCCTCAGGTCTCAGATGTGCAGCTGTCACTGACTTGTTCCTCCAGACACACCGATGAGGGTCAGTAGCCCCATTTTACAGATAGGTAAGCTGAGGCACAGGGCAGTACTGACCATGGGGTTGAGGGCAAGTCCCGAGTGCGCAGAGTGCACGTTCACGGCGCCCTCACCCGCAGCCTCCTGGCGCAGTGGAGCACCCTCGTACAGGAGCTGGAGGTCGCCCTGCAGCTGGCTTTCTACCCGGATGCCGTGGAGGAGTGGCTGGAGGAGAACGTGCACCCCAGCCTGCAGCGGCTGCGAGCTCTACTGCAGGACCTCAGCGAGGTGGCCACCCCCCCACCCCCACCCACCAGCCCTGGCAGGGACGCTGCTCAGGACCCCTGAGGGGAGAGCTTGTGCCAGGAGGCTCCTGCTATGGGCAGGGGTGCTCTGCGCTGCCAACTGTCAGCCAGGGCAACAGGGGCCCACGTGAGTGTTGTACCCTGTGGCCCAGCAGTGTCTGGCCCACACTCAGTTCCTGAGCGCCCTGGGCAACCCCTGGGGGAGAGACTAGAAAACACAGAAAGCAGCAGCACAGGGAGACCCGCTTTGTGACACTGACTCTTTGGAAATAAAGAGTGGAAGCCGCGGGTGACATGCGAAGGGTTATTTATGGTTATTATGACCATGTCCTGCAAAGAGGGGCTGGCAGCCACTACTGAGGAGGAGGGTCCCACCTCTCTCCTGTCTGCTTTCACCGAGGCCATAGCCAGACCTGGGGCAAAGGCGTTCCCGGTCCTACCCAGCCATTCCTGGGCCTGCCGCCGCGGGGCTCACAGGACCCAGGAGTCCTCAGTTCACAGGCCAGGGCATCAGGCCAGGCGCTCTCAGTGCACACCGCACCTGGGAGGACCTGGGTGCACTCGGGAGACCAAGAGCCCCAGCGGGTCAGGATGGTTGGCATTCAGCTCCTACGGGGTGAGGGAAAGAGGCTGGAACTCAATTTCTGCAGAAAATCTCCTAATTTTTCTTGTTTGGTTAGTATTTTTGCAAAGACAGGATCTTGTTGTGTGCCCAGGCTGGTCTTGGACTTCTGGCCTCAAGCAGTCCTCCCACCTTGGCCTCCCAAAGTGCTGGGATTACTGGCATGAACCATTGCGCCCGGCCGGAGCTCCCGGTTTTTAAGCGCTGCACAATACTGGAAGAGCTGACCTTTTTTCTGGCCTCGCAGCTTCTGCTGAGGCTGAGGGTAAGGAACAGAGAGACCTTTCTGTGACGACCACAGGGGCAGAGCGGTCTATGCGCCGAGATCCTGGCATCATCAAGGGAGGCAGGTCCTTGGGGAGGGGCAGCTTCCACAGTGTGGCTGCAGCGTGCACAGCCAGGTAGGCCCCGGATGTTCGCCCCTCGCTGCCCTTGGGGAAGCACCTGACCGCTGGGAATGTCCACCCAGGGAGAGGACACTGTGTCGGGGACAACACGCAGCATCAGCACCCAAGGGCCTGGCCTGGCCTCTCCACTCGCCCGAGGTCTGGCTGTGGCCCACAGCAGGAGTCCAGGGTTGGCGAGACCTCCAGCTGCAGGAAGGCAGGCCCAGGCCTCACGATGGAGAAAGTCTGGGTGTCCTCGTCCGGCCTGCTGTTTCGTGCAGTGTGAAAGCAGCAGTGTGAGCAGGCAAGAGGCCGACTCGGCTGGAGGCACCGACTGAAGCCAAGGCCACGGGGTTCTGTGGGCTGTGCACGGGCTCAGGCACACCAGGAATGTGCCACGGGTCCTGTGGGTGGTGCATAGGCTCAGGCATACCGGGGCTGTCAGCTCTGGCTCCCAGGGTCGCCGGCCTCACTGTCACTGCTCTGAGACAGCTCTGTGGGGCTTTCGAGGCAGTGCAGCTCTAGGAAGCTGGTGATGAGCTTGGCGATGGCTTCCACATCACTGGGCAAGGCCGGCAATGGGAGGAAGGTCAGGTCACCTCAGCACAGGGCGCCATGAGACCCCACAGCAGCCTCCTCCTCAACCACCCACCTCCAGCAGCCCCTGGGGCTCCCAAACTGGACCCAGCACTTCCTGGCCGCCTCCTACCCTCCCAGCCACGGAGGCTGCCCCTGAGCCTGCACATGCTTAACGTGGGCCCCTCTGTGTCTCGTCCACAAACTCATCTCCTCTCCCAGCTGCCTGTAGCTCTGGGTGGTCAGGAACGGGAGTCACCTGACACAGCTGCAGCTCCAGCCAGATCAAAGTCCCACAGCCTTACCTGCGGTGGCCCATGACTGCACTCTGCGTGAGGGGGTGGGAGAAGCCCGTCGCAAGCCGGAGCACCACCATGTAGCCCTTCCCGAAGTACCGGACCTTCTCCTCCTCCACGCTCACATCGCGGACATCATGCAGCAGGACCACCACTGTGGGGAGACGGTCAGTGGCCGAGCCGTCCCCGCCCACACGTGCCGCCCTGCAGTCACACCAGGGCCACTGGCGCCATCGAGAGCGACAGCCACGTCTGGTTGGCAGCAAAAGCATTTGCTGTTTCCTGCCTGAGACTGGGTCCTGGAGGACTGCTGTGGCCCTGACAGCAGTGCAGGGTCCTCCGGGTGGGAAGGACGTGCCCGCGGTGCAGGCTGGCAGGCCACATGCACAGCCTGCTGGTTCTCCTGGGAGTGCCGACCACGGGGACCCGCTCAGTGCGAGGCCGCCATCTTTACACTGTACTGTTTCCCCGAGGTTGGCTGCTGAGCCAGGGCCACCCTGCAATTTCCTGTGGCAACTCAGGGAAGCCACCTCTTTGGGTACCAGGGCGGCCCCAACTGTTGTCAGAAAACGGCACAGCTGCCTCTCACAGCCCAGGCCAGGCCTGCAACTCCTCTCCCCAAAGCCACGGTGACTTGGGGCCAATGCCCTGGCCAGGTCCCTCCAGGGATCTAGGAAGCAGCCTGTCAGAAGCACAGCATTGTGGCACTAAACCCAAGACTGCTCAGCAACTCTGGTCACCAGAATCTGTCCCCTCTCTGGGGCTATGCATGGGCAGCCGGACCCTGGGGCCTCTTTCTCTGCGGCAGCATCTACAGGAAACTGGTACTGACCACAGCTGGGCCACTGCCCAGGCTCAAGGGTGGGGGGTTCCTCAGACCTTCCAGCCCCTACTGCAGGCCCAGTAGGACTCACAGGAAAGCTGGAGCAGGGCCAAGGCCCGCAAGTAGCCAGGTGGCCCCACTCCGGAACGCCCGTGGGCTGCCGTGGCTCTCCCTGCCCCACCCTGTGACCTGCCGCTGGGGCCAGACTGTACCTGGGGACAAGTGGCTGCCAGGCAGGCGGGAGAACACAGCTAAACAGGCTGCCCAAGCACGCTGGGCCAGACCCCTGCTCTGCCAGACCTCTGCTCCTCCCACCCTCCGCTCCTCCCACCCTCCCGAGGGGCCAAACCTCTAAAGAACCCAGGAGGCTCTAGGACCCCGCCCAGCAGGTGAGCAGATGAGCAGGTGGGGCGTATCTGTGGGATCCTGCGTCCAGCGGGCAGGACACAACCCTGGTCACCAAGCAGGCGAGCTTGGACCAAAGGCGTTTCCAGGCCTCCCGCCGCCAGGTCCCGTGGGTCACCCAGATGCCCACAGTGCCCCATGTCCCCAGGCTCCCCACAACTCACCCTGGTCATGGCCTGCTCTGAAAAGAGTCAGCAGCTTCTTGTAGAGGCTGAACGTCTTCAAAACAACCTTCCCTGTGCTCTTGTCAAAGATGGCTTCCTGGAAACCGACAGGCACTGACCACCATGAACCTCCAGGAACAGGGGCCCCGAGGCTGCTGGGGCATCACCCCCACCCTCACCAGGGTAGACACTCAAGAAGGGGGGCTGGGGCCCCTCCCAGTCAGAACCCAAAGCCCTGAAGCTGCAGGTGCTGCTCTGTCAGAGCTGGACATCTGTAGCCAGCCTGACTCCTGTTGGGAACTGGGGAGCTAGGCAGGTGCAGGAGCTGGGCAGGTGCAGCAGGTGCTTGCTCCACTGCAGGCAAAACAAGTGCAGGGAGGCAGCGGAACCAGCAAATGAGGGCATGGAGGTCAGAGGGCAGCACTGGGCCAGGCTGAAAGGACTCAGGAGGGGCTCCGAGGTGGGAGGGCCGGCCACGGGGAAAGCTGACTCGCATCCCGTCGTGGCAACTCCGGGAAGAAAGCACTTTGGTGAAGACAGTCACGGAGAGCTTCTAAGAGAAAAATGCCTTCGGGAGATTCCTTGGCCAAGAATCGTACCAGGTGAGTGCAGGGACCATGTCCTAATGAACGGAGACCTCCAAGCAGGGACCAACGCTTCAGGGCGTGGAGGCGCTGGGCCACCCATGGCCCTTCCTCCTCCTCTCATTCCCATTGCAAGAAAACCCAGGAGCGGAACAGTCCTGGACTCCGTCCTGCCCCCGAGCCGGCCTTACCTCCCAGTCCTCCAGGTTCTGCACGGCCACAAACAGGCAGCCTGTGACGTAGAAGAGCTTCCAGCCCAGGCTATCTGAAGATGGACATAGGGCGCCAGCCTGTGAGCTCCAGGGACGTGCCCATGGGAGGCCCCACCTAACGCAGCCTCCCCCACGCTTGCAAGGACCACCTGGGCAGCTTCCTGTGCTGCTGACCCTGCCCTGGCCACTCAGGACCCACATGCGGCACACCCTGCCCAGCTCTGACCCCCGGCGTCCACGTGGGAGAGGCAGGTGGCGTGCACAGGGCCTCTGCCTGTCTGGGCAGGCCCAGTGATGGTGGCAGTGGGGGAAGTACGCCTCACCCCACAGCTGGATCTTAGACAGATACTCAAGAGCATCTTTCCCGGAATATCTGATGACCCAAAAACACCGAAGACTTAAGAAGTGAAATGCAGGCTGGGTGCTGGGCGGGATGGGCGTGCGGAAGAACAGCAGTGCGTGGAGGGGCGCGGTGCCCACCAGCAATCAAGGGGCAGAGATGCCGATCTTAAAGGCTGCCCCATGGACAGTCACAAAGGACGGTTTTCCCTTCTTTTCTCTGTTTTCCAAACAGCTGAGACAGTCATGGGGGGGCGGGGCAGGGGGTGCTTTACCTCCACTGTAGTAGGCAGCAGCCAGGCCAATTGACAAGATTCCTATGAAGAGAAAGTGACTGCCTGCCTATTGATCCCGGTAAGACCCCACCTCCTCCCCGGTGCAGCCGTACCTGGAGCCACAGCCCCTGATGAGCAGGCCCTTCCCACTATAGGAACAGCTGTGGTCAGGGGTTACAGACCACCAGGTTCAGAGTAGGGGAAACAGCCAGGAAGGTGATTCGATAATGCAGTATAGCTGGGCATAGTATCACACGCTTCTAATCCCAGCTACCTGGGAGGCCGAGGAAGGAGGATCGCTTGAGCCCAGGAGTTTGAGACCAGCCTGGGCAACCTAATGAGACCTCATCACTAAAGAAAACAAAAACAAAACACAGTATACACTATTCACAGTATTTACTGGACACATCCGCCATGTGAGGCTCCAGAACTGACACGGGTGTTACTCCAGCAGCCCGTGGTGAGGCCTGAAGACTGTGCACAAAGAATTACAATGCAGCGTGCCACGCAAAACACACAGGAGGCTGTGGCGTGTCACATAAAAGGTGGGCCCCAGAGACACAGCTGCTGAGGTACAGCCAGCAGCACTCCTCACACGGTGTCCCGTCAACACAAGTGCAGCTATCCCCAAGGGTACAGGACCCTACTGGTGAGTAGGGACGGAGGACAGGAGGCTAAGTGGACTGTGAGTCCTATGAGGAGGTCTGAGGATCAGGGAAGAGAAGAAATGGGAACCCACGATCACCCATCACACGGTTCAAAACAAGTACAAAGGAAAATACGGTGACCTCAGAAAAGCTCACAGAGTATTAAATACTCTGGGTGTTAGTGGTTAAAAAGGGACAAAATAGATGTGCATTATCTGTAAAACCAAGTACACAGGATAAAATTTGAATGGATACAAAGAAACAAAATAGCTGTTCGATTTCAGGGTAATAGAAAAAACAGAAAATACTATGTTTCATTTTCATCCTTTTTGAAAGTCAGGCTTCCAATTCTGGGGTTCTGGGGAGGGACAGCCTCTGGGGAGAGCCTTACCAACCAGCAGGGACCAGGACCGGATGCCTGGAGCCCTCTTCAGATGGAGGCGGGAGCTGGTGCGGGTCTCCACCTGCAGGTACATCCCGAGAAGGCAGCACCAGTCTCTACAGGAAGAGGGGCCTGGGGACAGACAGAGGCAGCTGAGCCCTGCACACAGGCAGGTGCCCACGGCATCAGGCCCAGGCTGGAGGCCAAGAGCAGGTCCCGCAACGAAGTCACCTGCAGCCCCAGACACCATCAGCCAGTCTGATCTGTTCTCTGTGGTCAGGCACCTCACTGGATCCCCCAGAGACCCCGTTTCCTGTGTAAGGAAGACCCTCTTCCGTTCACAGTGACACCGACTGCACGGGGGCTGTTTCCCGCTCAGACTCACGAGCTACAGCTGCATCACCACCTGCCCATCCTATCTGGAAACCTAATGTCTTGAGGAGGCCGCTAGCCCCCAGCAGCCTTTGAGCTTCTAGCACCTGTCAGCACCCCCTCTCCCCTGTGCTGGCCTCCATCAAGAAAGGGAACTGAAAGTCCCCTCATGGCTTCAGGCCGGACTGGCGCTCGTACTGGCACAGACCAACAGTCTCAGCTCGCTCTCTGCCTTCCTCCACCTGCTGAAAGTTCAGACTGCACAGTGCAGCGTCCTAAAATGGCCAGAACCGACGAGTCACCAAAGGGGCTAATCTTCCACACCGGGTTCTGCACGGACTGCAACAGCCCTGCCACTTCACAGTACGCTCCGAACACTGGCCCCGGGGACCCCGTTCTGGCAGTTTCTCAGGGCTTTCCCTGTGAAGTCAAATTTCTGACATTAAATAGGGGGTTCAGCCTGGGCACGGTGGTTCATGCCTGTAATCTCAGCACTTTGGGAGGCCGAGGCGTGCGGATTCCTTGAGTCCAGGAGCTCGAGACCAGCCAGGACAACGTGGTGAAACTCCCGTCTCCACAGAAACTATTTAAAACTTAGCCAGGTGTGGCGGTGCACGCCTGTGGTCCTAGCTATTCAGGAGGCTGAGCTGGGAGGATCACCTGAGGCCAGGAGGTGGAGGCCGCAGTGAGCCGAGATCGTGCCACTGCACTGCAGCCAGGGTGACAGGGTGAGACGGTGTCTCAAAAAAAATAAAAAATAGTGGGTTCAAATCACAAAACCAATCCTAGATGCTGGTATATGACTGGGCTCCCTCCCGGGCCTCAGTTACCGCATTGCTCCCCAAACACCCGGCATTCCACACACAATGCACACACACAAGCACACGCCCGGTGGCAGAGCCGCCCGCGCCGCTGGTCGCACCGAGCGCTCGTTTCTTTGTCCGGGTCGAGGGCGCTCCCGCCGCCGTGGCCAACCTGCAGCGGAACAGCCGCGAGGCCGCCCGCGACGGGCAGGGCGGGACACGGAGCAGCCGACAAGCCGGTCCAGGACGCAAACCCCGTCCGGAGTGGGCCCCAGGGTGCCGGGACGCGCGGCACGGAGCGGGAAGGAAGTGCGGAGCCCACCCAGCCCAGCCGCCTACCGAGAGCACAGCGGTCCCCGCGCGGCAGCAGAGAGACGCGAACCGGCAGGGGCGGGGCCGCGCGGACTTCCGGGATTGGAGCGGAGCGGAGCCGACTTTCGGGGGCGGGACCTCGCGGACTTCCGGGGTTGGGGGCGGGGCCGCAAGCATTTCCTGGATGGGGCGGAGCCGAGCGGATTTCCGGGATCGCAGGCCGGGCTGCACGGACTTCCGGGACCCGGGCGGAGCCACAGGAGGAGTCGGGTGGTTCCAGCTAAAGGAACCAGTTTTGTTTTGTTTTGTTTTGTTTTGTTTTTGTTTTTGTTTTAGTAGAGAGGAGGTTTCACCGGGTTAGCCAGGATGGTCTCGATCTCCTGACCTCGTGATCCGCCCGTCTCGGCCTCCCAAAGTGCTGGGATTACAGGCTTGAGCCACCGCGCCCGGCCTAGGAACCGGTTTTCTTGGAAAAGAGAAACATGCGGGGAAACGTATCCGAAAGCAAAGAACTTACCAAAGCCTATGAGCGTCTTCCCAACATAGAAGCGTAACTGAAGCAGTTCTCATTGCCAAAAAAGAAGATTTGAGCATGAATAAGAACAGTAATTCCAATGAATTGAAAATCCTGAGGTGCTCCGGGCTGTAATTCATAATAATGTATTTTTTAACTGTGTTCACTTTTGGAGGATGCTGGCAAGCTCTCCCCAGTTTGTGGCCTGGTTAATAAAAGGAAAGCATCAAGCATTTGTCCTGCCTTTATGAAATTTACAGCAGAGTAACCAAATACTGCATGAGAAGAATGTCTCATTATAGAAGTTTTCCCGCTAATAAATGAAGAAGAAACAGTAGGATTAACACATCACCTTATGAATTAACGGACCTGGGCAATGTCATCAATGACTGCTAATTAACATCGCAAAAAGGTCAGATACTGGAAGTACACAACACCATCTATGAAGTAGTCTTGCCAGAAAAAATTTAAGCTGAAAGTGAACAAGTTTCTAAAGTGAATTAGTGGAAATTTGGAAGACAAGACTGTACTAAAGGATTCTACAAGGATACAAGTCAGCAATTGCGGGTGTAAAACAAAAATAAAATTCAAACCCTCAACCATCTGAATGGACCCCTCCTCTTGGCCAAGAGCATTCCAAAGTTATCCTGAAAAACTAGTTAAGGCAGTGATGGGAAGGGAGAGACAGACATACCTTACTCCCTCCTCCCTTTTGGAATTCAGGCAGACAGCTGACCAGCATTCACATTAAAACAGATCTTGAGCCAGCCGGGCGGGCGCGGTGGCTCACGCCTGTAATCCCAGCACTTTGGGAGGCCAAGGCGGGCGGATCACAAGGTCAGGAGAACGACACCATCCTGGCGAACACCGGTGAAACCCCATCTCTACTAAAAAAAAAACCCAAAAAATTAGCTGGGCGTGGTGACGGGCACCTGTAGTCCCAGCTACTTGGGAGGCTGAGGTAGGAGAACGGTGTGAACCCAAGAGGCAGAGCTTGCAGTGAGCCAAGATGGTGCCACTGCACTCTAGCCTGGGCGACAGAGGGAGACTCTGTCTCAAAACAAAAACAAAAAAACAAACAACAACAACAACAAAAAAACATCTTGAGGCTGACAAAGTAGACTCTGTAGCAATGACACCAAATTCCAGCCTGACTCTGGTGTAGGATTACATGACAGATAGGAGGCCCTGGAAGAAATCGAAGTACTTTACCCCACATTAAATTTCTTCGATGTATTTTGAAATAGCCCTGCAAAGCTATCCCTTGTGAGGAAAATCTACATTCTGTAGAGAATCCCTGCTCCTTTCCAGGTCTTTTTCCTGCTTCAGGAGAGAACTCTAATAAGAAACACTTACAATCTATTCTCTCTGAAGCCTGCTACCTGGAGACTTCCTCTGCTTAACGGAAATCTTGGTCTCCACAAGCCCCTATCTTAACCTAGAAACTCCCTTCTGTTGATTCTCGGTCTTTAGACGTAACTTAACCTTTTCAATCAATTGCCAGTCAAAAAGTCTTTGAATCTGGCTGGGCGCGGTGGCTCAAGCCTGTAATCCCAGCACTTTGGGAGGCCGAGACGGGCGGATCACGAGGTCAGGAGATCAAGACCATCCTGGCTAACACGGTGAAACCCCATCTCTACTAAAAATACAAAAAACTAGCCGGGCGAGGTGGCGGGCGCCTGTAGTCCCAGCCTCCGGGAGGCTGAGGCCGGAGAATGGCGTGAACCCAGGAGGCGGAGCTTGCAGTGAGCTGAGATCCGGCCACGGCACTCCAACCTGGGCGGCAGAGCGAGACTCCGCCTAAAAAAAAAAAAAAAAAAAAAAGTCTTTGAATCTACCTATGACCTGGAAGCCCCCCTACTACAAGTTGCGTCACCTTTCTGAACCGAACCAATATACGTCTACATGTATTGACTGATGTCTTACGTCTTAGCTGTAACCTAACCATGTACATTTTCTTAGGATCTCCTAAGGGCTATGTCACTGGCCATTGGTCACTCATATTTGGCTCAGAATCTCTTAAAATATTTTACAGTTTGCCTTTTTTTGTCAACATAGGAAATCCTACAGGCAAATGACCTGATTTTTTAATAATATATACAAGGAGAAGGAGAGAAGGATATGGATAGAACCTACAAATTTAAAAAATGACAACAACTTTAAAATCAGGAACTCTGCAACTTTTTTGGGGGGGGGACAAAGTCTCACTCTGTTGCCCAGGCTGGAGTGCAGTGGCACCATCTCAGCTCACTGCAGCCTCCGCCTCCCGGGTTCAAGCAATTCTCCTGCCGCAGCCTCCCACGTAGCTGGGACTATAGGCACGCATCACCACGTCCAGCTAATTTTTTTATTTTTAGTAGAGACAGGCTTTTGCCGTGCTGGCCATGCTGGTCTCGAATGTCTGACTTCAGATGATCTGCCTGCCTTGGCCACCCAAAGTGCTGGGATTACAGGCATGAGCCATTGTGCCCAGCTTGAACTCTGCCACTTCTAAGTAGGCCTCAAGTTATGTCAAAATCAAGTTTTTATTTTTAAAGAGAGATTTTTCAATGTCTTCCGTAAGTTCATAGAAAAAGAGACTTAAGAAACATATGAATCAATTGTAATGTAGACTAATAGAACATACTAGACCTTATGTAGATCCTGATTTAAACAAACTGTAAAAAAAATTGTGAGAAAATGGGGAAAACTGGACATTGGCTATTTGATTAAAAAAAATTAGGTGATTGTAATTTGTTCTTTTTTTTTTTTTTACTTTTTTTTGAGACAGAGTCTTGCCTTGTTGCCCAGGCTGGAGTGCAGTGGTGTGATCTCGGCTCACTGCGACCTCTGCCTCCCAGGTTCAAGCAATTCTGCCTCAGTCTCCTGAGCAGCTGGGACTACAGGTGCGCGCCACCACGTCCGGCTAAATTTTTGTATTTTATTAGAGATGGGTTTTCACCGTGTTGTCCAGGCTGGTCACGAACTCCTAAGCTCAGGCAGTCCTCCCACCTTGGCCTCCCAAAGTGCTGGGTTTACAGGCATGAGCCTCTGCACCAGGCCATAATTTGTTCTTTCAACCATATTACAGTTATGTTTTTATATTTATTTATTTATTTATATTTTAGAGATGGAGTTTTGCTCTTGTTGCCCAGGCTGGAGTGCAATGACATGGTCTTGGCTCACTGCAACCTCTGCCTCCCGGATTCAACTGATTCTGCTGCCTCAGCCTCCCAAGTAGCTGGGATTACAGGCACCCACCACCACACGCAGCTAATTTTTGTATTTTCAGTAGAGATGGAGTTTCACCATGTTGGCCAGGCTGGTCTCAAACACCTGACCTCAGGCAATCCACCCACCTTAGCCTCCCAAAGTGCTGGAATTACGGGCGTGAGCCACCACACCTGGCCAGTTATGTTTTTAAAACATTAACCAAAAAGCTATACAAATGACAACCTAAAATTATCCTTTTATTTAAGCTGAAGTTGAGGGGTGATGTTTTCTGAGAGATGTTGACATGAATTTGAGTAATCTAGAGGGTTGAGACTTCCTGAATTTCATTGATGCATTTGTAAAAATCTATACAAACTGAAAACTATAAATAAGAATTTTTTTTTTTTTTTTTTTTGAGATGAAGTCTCACTCTGTCACCCAGGCTGGAGTCCAGTGGCACGGTCTTGGCTCACTGCAACCTCCACCTCCTGGGTTCAAGCGATTCTCCTGCCTCAGCCTCCCAAGTAGCTGGAATCTACCTATGACCTGGAAGCCCCCCTACTACAAGTTGCGTCACCTTTCTGAACCGAACCAATATACGTCTACATGTATTGACTGATGTCTTACGTCTTCTCAAAATATATAA